TGCAAGTTAGTGGCGAATCGGTCGCACCTCATCCCGACCAAAACGGCTGATAGCATTCCGCGTGGCCCAGAGACTATAGTTTATGTTTACGAACCCCCTAGGGAAATGTGAAGTCAAGGCAAAGAGCCAAAGGGAGTGTTCGTTACCGAGGTATGGTGTAGGGGTGAAACAACCATCCGGTGCTTCGCCTGATGTCAGAGACTGGCTAAGTTGGCTATTCCTAGCTAGACAGCTTAGCTTTTCATAACCATCCCTTGGAAATCGCAACAAATAACTTGCGTTTATGAGTGAATAGGAGACAAAATGGAAAGAGGTCAGGTCCAGCCCTCGAAAGATGAGGGAATTATTCAGTTAGAAATACTTTACGCTTGAGCCACAGTCAAACTGTTCGTAATGGACCGAGAACATCAGCAATGAAACCCAACTCCTTAGGGTGAGCGTCGCCTTGGATTAAGCAAGTTAGTAGTTTTTAAAAACTCTAATCTCGACAATTTTGTACACACCCGAGTTTTGCAAATGCATGTCACGGATAGCACGAAGCCAGCGTCGAGAATTGAACATAGTAGATCAAGTGGGTGCGGTGAAAGGAAGAGAGCTTCACTAAGCAGAGATGGGTATTAGAGAAGATACCAATCACAGCATATGGTTTCATTTCTGTTCTCACCATTCTCCTTTCTACCAGCTCGTCCCTCGTGAGTAGGCAAATCAGGAAGAACCGTTTCGATCGGAAATATGTGACACCTCAAGAAAGACTCACCCACTGGCGTTTCATCTTCCGTCTGGATTTGGTGTTTTGGAACAAGATTGTCAGCCGTTCAGTTAGGAAAAATAGATAGACTCCTAACAGAGCCACCAAAGACTTGACAACCATGTCTTGATGTGAAGCCGGGTGCGGATCAGCGCTGTGATCATGCGAGTGCGAGTGCGCGTGGTCGTGGTCGTGACTGGAGATACCCTGACAACATGGAAAAAGGGATGGAGAGTTCTTAAAGACTACAGAAACAGTTGTGTAAATATTGCACATCGGTTTAATATCATAGGTGAAGAAGTGAATAGCATTCGATCGTTCGGGATGAACGGAATGATCGGTGTCAAATAGCGTAAAAGCTATTGCGTTCAGATGGAAGGTAGCTCGAGTGGTTTTCTCTAGGGGACACATTCCCATTAGCTTTTGTCTTGGCTTGACTACGTTTACCTTAAAGATCTCTGATCCCCCTTCAAGATTCCCCAGATACGCCCAATCGGATCATCTCTCTGTACGTATAACTTCAGATTCATATGCGCACACAAAACCTGTACAGGAAAAGCCTAACGAATCGCATCGGTACATCTTCACCACTATTTTCCAACCTATCATTTCGGTGTATACCCAGTTAAAAACAAATATGTTGTCCATATTAGATTTTAGAGTGGTATGTTCGCAGTTGTATTTCCGTTGAGGTCGTCCGCCTCTCAGATCTGGCATTGCCTTTTCCTAGATTAGCAGATCAGCAATTACTCACATGTATTTTTTATCCTGTAGAAAATCGGTCATCGCTTACATGTTGGGGCACACAGCTAAGACCAATCAGATGTGTGTTGTGCTACAGCAACTCTCGCCCCATGAATACAACATGGCTTGACAGAGCAAAAATTGGGCTCCAATATTACTCCTACAAAAAAGTTACTAAAACTCCTCCATATGTAACGGCGCATGCCTTTCATGAAACTAAAGCGTCGTTTTGACTGACGCGAGCAATCAAAGCGCTATCCTGACGCAACATGTCATCTTACGGCGTCGAGGAAGATACGTAAATGCTGTTGAAACTGTCGCGAAAGATACAACTGTCAAGAGAAAGGAACTGTATGGCTGTCGAACAGGAAAGCGTCGGTGACGAGCAAGGTGACCGTTTCTTCCTCACCAATTATGGGCGATGATTTCTCAGGCTGGTGTGGTAAATGACACGTATGACTCTGGTCAGTTCTGCGAAACAATCATCATCGGAGCGTCAGTGAACGGATAAGGGTGTTTGTAAAAGACAAAGAAAAAAAGGATTTGCATCATTGACAAATACATGTATGAGAAAGAATGTAGGACCCTCGTCCACTTCAAAGGCTGGACGATGCTGGTAGGATCTCAAACCAACCTTAAACATTCGGCCCGTCATAGTCAGGCCACCATGTGACCATTCGTTTACTCTGCTTCTTACGCGCGACGTCTCCAATCACGCGTCATACAGAAGGTGAAGTAGAACTCATACAATTCCGATTACTATATACTGAGGATACTCAAGGATGGTAAACCTGAAAAGTGGTATCCTTGCATGGGTGTGTTCACTTCAAAGGTGAGAATAGATGGAATGGAATGGGAAAGGCCACAATGATGATAAATTCTTCTTAATACCATTTAACCTAACTCCAACAGTCAAGGTTATCCCGTAAGAACACTGGATGGCTGGCCGAACGACCTCCACTTGGTGCCAGATGGATAGTTCGTAGTTACCCCGATCCAGCCTACGGTTAGGTGGAAATGTTCCAGGGCGTTGCGGGTTTTCTCGGGGCGAGCGTTCTCCATTAGAAAAAGTCCCAAAGTGCGACGTGGTGGATATGACGCACTCACTCACTTGCTTCACTCTCGTGGTGCATTGTATCCCAGCAAAGTAATGCTGAAAAGAACTGGGCCCCTGACCAAATGAAAAATGTATAAACTGAACAATCGGCCACCGACTCCCTACTAGCGCTATTCTCTGACTTCACTTCGATACACTACGGGAACTCCGTTCCGGCAAAGGCTCGGGGCGATGTTCCCTAAGTCAAATGGCTATTTCGTCTCGAGCAACCGAGATATATCGCACCCTGTGAAGAAATTAGGGATTACTATGTTGTATTCAGATTTCATTTTACAATAACTGCACTCTTCTTTGATAACCACGTCCATTTGTGGACTATCAATATATATATATATATATATATATATATATTGCAAGTCCACGAGTGGACGTGCGTATCCAAGAATAGTGCAGTTACCGTAAAATGTAGTCTGAATACAACACAGTAATCCCTAATTTCTTCACAGGGTGCGATATATCTCGGTTGCCCAAGCCGAAATAGCCATTTGACTTGGGGAACATCGCCCCGAGCCTTTGTCGGGACAGTCTTCCCGTAGAGTATCGGAGTGAATTCAGAGAACAGCGCTAGTAGGGAGTCGGTGGCCGATTGTTCAGTTTATACATTTTTCATTTGGTCAGTGGCCAAGCAGGGGCCCAGTTCTTTTCAGCATTACTTTGCTGGGATACAATGCACCACGAGAGTGAAGCAAGTGAGTGTGTGCGTCATATCCACCACCTCGCACTTTGGGACTTTTTCTAATGGAGAACGCTCGCCTAGAGAAAACCCGCAACGCCCTGGAACACTTCCACCTAACCGTTTGCTGGATCGGGGTAATCACGAACTATCCATCTGGCACCAAGTGGAGGTCGTTCGGCTAACCATCCAGTGTTCTTACGGGATAACCTCGACTGTTGGAGTTAGATTAAATGGTATTAAGAAGAATTAATCATCATTGTGGCCTTTCCCATTCCGTTCCATCTATTCTCACCTTTGAAGTGAACACACCGATGCAAGGATACCACTTTTCAGGTTTACCATCCTTGAGTATCCTCAGTATATAGTAATCGGAATTGTATGAGTTCTACTTCACCTTCTGTATGACGCGTGATTGGAGACGTCGCGCGTAAGAAGCAGAGTAAACGAATGGTCACATGGTGGCCTGACTTTGACGGGCCGAATGTTTAAGGTTGGTTTGAGATCCTACCAGCATCGTCCAGCCTTTGAACTGGACGAGGGTCCTACATTCTTTCTCATACATGTATTTGTCAATGATGCAAATCCTTTTTTTTTCTTTGTCTTTTACAAACACCCTTATCCGTTCACTGACGCTCCGATGATGATTGTTTCGCAGAACTGACCAGAGTCATACGTGTCATTTACCACACCAGCCTGAGAAATCATCGCCCATAATTGGTGAGGAAGAAACGGTCACCTTGCTCGTCACCGACGCTTTCCTGTTCGACAGCCATACAGTTCCTTTCTCTTGACAGTTGTATCTTTCGCGACAGTTTCAACAGCATTTACGTATCTTCCTCGACGCCGTAAGATGACATGTTGCGTCAGGATAGCACTTTGATTGCTCGCGTCAGTCAAAACGACGCTTTAGTTACATGAAGGGCATGCGCCGTTACATATGGAGGAGTTTTAGTAACTTTTTTGTAGGAGTAATATTGGAGCCCAATTTTTGCTCTGTCAAGCCATGTTGTATTCATGGGGCGAGAGTTGCTGTAGCACAACACACATCTGATTGGTCTTGGCTGTGTGCCCCAACATGTAAGCGATGACCGATTTTCTACAGGATAAAAAATACCTGTGAGTAATTGCTGATCTGCTAATCTAGGAAAAGGCAATGCCAGATCTGAGAGGCGGACGACCTCAACGGAAATACAACTGCGAACATACCACTCTAAAATCTAATATGGACAACATATTTGTTTTTAACTGGGTATACACCGAAATGATAGGTTGGAAAATAGCGGTGAAGATGTACCAGTGCGATTCGTTGGGTTTTTCCCGTGCAGGTTTTATGTACGCGTATGAATCTGAACTTATACCTAACAGAGAGATGATCCGATTTGGTGTGCCTGGGGAGTCTTGAAGGGGATCAGAGAACTTTAAGGTAAACGTAGTCGTGCCAAAACAAAAGCTAATGTGAATATGTCCCCTAGAGAAAACCACTCGAGCTACCTTCCATCTGAACGCAATAGCTTTTACGCTATTTGACACCGATCATTCCGTTCATCCCGAACGATCGAATGCTATTCACTTCTTCATCTGTGGTATTAAACCGATGTTCAATGTGTACACAACTGCTCCCGTAGTCTTTAAGAACTCTCCATCCCTTTTTCCATGTTGTCAGGGTATCTCCAGTCACGACCACGACCACGCGCACTCGCACTCGCATGATCACAGCGCTGATCCGCACCCGGCTTCACATCAAGACATGGTTGTCAAGTCTTTGGTGGCTCTGTTAGGCGTCTATCTATTTTTCCTAACTGAACGGCTGACAATCTTGTTTCAAAACACCAAATCCAGACGGAAGATGAAACGCCAGTGGGTGAGTCTTTCTTGAGGTGTCACATATTTCCGATCGAAACGGTTCTTCCTGATTTGCCTACTCACGAGGGACGAGCTGGTAGAAAGGAGAATGGTGGGAACAGAAATGAAACCATATGCTGTGATTGGTATCTTCTCTAATACCCATCTCTGCTTAGTGAAGCTCTCTTCCTTTCACCGCACCCACTTGATCTACTATGTTCAATTCTCGACGCTGGCTTCGTGCTATCCGTGACATGCATTTGCAAAACTCGGGTGTGCACAAAATTGTCGAGATTAGAGTTTTTAAAAACTACTAACTTGCTTAATCCAAGGCGACGCTCACCCTAAGGAGTTGGGTTTCATTGTTGATGTTCTCGGTCCATTGCGAACAGTTTGACTGTGGCTCAAGCGTAAAGTATTTCTAACTGAATAATTCCCTCATCTTTCGAGGGCTGGACGTGACCTCTTTCCATTTTGTCTCCTATTCACTCATAAACGCAAGTTAGTTGTTGAGATTTCCAATGGATGGTTATGAAAAGCTAAGCTGTCTAGCTAGGAATAGCCAACTTAGCCAGTCTCTGACATCAGGCGAAGCACCGGATGGTTGTTTCACCCCTACACCATACCTCGGTAACGAACACTCCCTTTGGCTCTTTGCCTTGAATTCACATTTCCCTAGGGGGTTCGTAAACATAAACTATAGTCTCTGGGCCACGCGGAATGCTATCAGCCGTTTTGGTCGGGATGAGGTGCGACCGATTCGCCACTAACTTGCAGGCCTCCGCCATGTAGAGGACAGGACAGTCTTCGATCATTAGCTTCTGAAACTTAAGTCACCAAGTAACCGACTGCATTATAACTGGTTCAGGTGGAGTAGTTTCTGTAACTGAGTGGCAATGGAACTTGATAGTTTTATGATTTTTCAGAGTATTAACTTAGCAATGATAACTAACATTTCGCGAAATAACCAGCATTCCGTGTATTTCCCGTATTATTCCCAACCAGACGCTCACATACATATACTGGCAAGATTAGATGCTTACTAATGATAGTGGGTCGATACGTGTAGAGATTGAGGTCACCGCTTCCAGTGACGGGACACACCCCTTAGCAAAGCAAGGCTAGGCTGGCCATGAGGTCAAATTGTTCGGTTAGCTCAGGCTTCAGTTGCCAAATGGTGAAAACCTCGGCACATCGGATCATTTAAGGTTATTGCATCTATTGGTGAGTATTTTCGCGCGTAACGCAATCGAACAGGTACCGAGCGATCGAGCTACTAGGCAACTTAGGGCTGTTCATCGCTAGGCCTTGTGGAAATTGCTCCACACTCTTGTTTGACTGCCTCAGTCCTGCCAATGTACGTGATACCACAGATGTAGTTATGCAACCGTAAAATATAGCCGTTCGCTTCCCACCAACACAGCGATGAGGCTACATTCATTCTTGAACCTTTTATCCAGACTTCCCTTCACTGTTCAAATGTGTATGTGCTTGACCCCAGGAGCACGCTTAACCTGGAAAATTTTCCAACCAAGCGCGACCCCAACCTCTTGCAGTGTCAGTCTGCCATAGCGTCAGATAATTTGACCGAAATTCAACTTGAAGTTTTATCAAGCGGTTATTTGTCCTCCGTCTGGAATCACCTATCACCCTTAACACTGCGCAGCAATAAGTGACCTGTGATAGCCAACACCTGTTCCTTGACATTACACGTCGACTGTCTACACCGTTACGTGCATTCGACCTGATCACCCACCGATTGCATGTAAGCGGCTGGTGGTGTTATTCAAATCAACGCCACCTGACATGAAGTCCCAGCTCGGACTATCTCTACTTTAAGGGGTACACAAGAAACTGATGTAGGTACATTGCAACAAGGTACTTGACCCGGACAGACTGTCTTCCGCTGTCCTCGGGGAGTGCACCGATTCCTCGGCTCAGCGTTTTGCTGATTAGTACACATTGAGGAGGAAAGATTATGAAGTTGTTGACTATTAGAGTAGTGTAAGTGCAGTCAAACCTGTCTAGTGCGACCACTCAAGGGACCGATAAAAGGTGGTCGCCTTGGATATATGGTCGCCAGGGACGATTTCGTGCATAGGAACATTACTCCTAGAAGAAATCGTTGGGGATGTTTTGGCTGCTCACCATAGACAGGTGGTCGCAATGCAGGTTGGACTATAGTACGCCAGTGCTGAAGAAAGAGTCGATTGCTTGTACTTCAGTAAACTTTAAGCTTTTTGGGTTTATTGCTGTAACGATGCCGACTACATGAGACTGGACTGTAGTGTGGTGCGATGGTTTGCGTACCCCCGTGACCCATTGGGCTATGCTGAGTGGCACTTTCCAAGTGCATTCAGAGCCACCCATACCAGACAGGTCAATGCTTAGGGTTCAGACTATCGCCGTCTCATAATCCAATCTTCTTCGGAGGTTGGGGAGAGGTCGATTGCCCTCTTTCTTTAATACATAGCGATGACAAACAACATGTCTTCAGGTTATAAGCTCACAGTTTGTTGGGCATAGAGCACGTGCGCCACGCATTGTCTCTGACGATGGGAGGACACACTCTGGTACTCAATGGTTTACTAACGCCCGCCATAAGCCAGTTAGTTCTGGTCAGATGGGTGCAAACCATCCAGCTCCCGCCTTCGGCTGGCCGTAATCGCAGGTGTATAACATAATACGGTCGTAAAACACAAGTGCATTGTGCTAAATCTTTAAAGACCTTTTGTGACAAGCCTCAAGCCAATCCCAGTGGGTCCCCGCAATCACATTCCCGAGCTGAACTTGCTCCCCCTGCCTTCTGGTTCGGACTGTTGAGCCAAAGGCTCCGGGTGGAGTCCCTCAAGCGAACCTCCACACCCCCACTGCCTTGTTAGTCGGGCTATTGAACCAATAGCTCTGCGTGGATTCCCCCAAGGAAAGCTTCATGTACCCCACTGCCTTGTGGGTCAGATTGTTGAGTCAAAGGCTATAGGTAGAGCAACTCGAACAAAACCCTTCTCTCGGAATGGGCAGCCAGAGAGTATCATCTGCCCTCTCGACCACGTCGACAATCCTCCCTCTTCTTCTGATTTTTCTCTCTTCTCTCCTCTTCCCCATCTATTAAGCAAGAGCGCTACTGGCCTCGCAGCTGCTGCCATCGAAACACGTCGCTCTTCCATCAAGCCCAGATTTTCATTTCACATTGGTTCTTTTAACGTCCGCACTCTAGGTCAGATCGGCCAGCAAGCAGCACTGACTCTCACTCTTCATTCTTTTGGTATTGATGTGTGCTGTGTCCCCGAAACACGCATACAAGGTAACAGCGTCTTGACACATCTTCGAATCACTGGTTCTGAATCTGACGACGATGACTACGTTCTTCGTATCTCTGGTGGTACCTTGTCAAAGGGTCAAGGCATTTTAGGTATTGGTATTGCCCTCAGAAAACATGCTGAAGCTAATCTGCTCGACTGGTACCGGTGAACAGCCGCATGTGCGCGGTTCGAATCCGAACCTCTATTGGAAATAATAAGCACCGTATGAAGAAAAGAGGCCTTTTCATCGCCTTAGTTTATGCCCCCACTGAATGCAGTTCAAAGTGTATCAAAGACAATTTCTGTCGACAGCTGTTTTCTCTTACCGTAATTGTTCCTGGTGACAAGAGTATCCAAGGGGGTCGTCTTTCAGACTGCGAACAACATCTGGGCGGTCGTTTTGAAATCGATGCACGCCGAACAGACGATGAGAATTGTTTCCTGTTACTGTGTGCGGACCACATCCTTTACCTTAGCAGCACTGCATTCTAGCACGAACGTCCACATCGCGTCACCCGGCGCCCACCGAATCCCTCCACGATCTGGACCCCACTTGACCATACTGCCATTAACCACAGATGGCGCAACCAGTCCAAGACTGCCGGCCAATTGGGGGCACGTGCCTCACACACACACACACTATACACGTTAGCTAGAGGTGGGAAACACCTCAGCTACTGTGCCGCAATACATAGAAGTACAAAGGAGAAAATGCAACAGGTGCAAACCAGCTGAGCTACCGGTAACGGCTGGGCATCGTTCCGGTAAACTATCTGCCGGCTACAGTGCAGCAAAAAACGTAATTTCCTATGCAAAATTATAAAATATTAAATAACGAGATCGTGGTTGGAAGGGGATGCTAAGAGGGATGGGGTGTGACAAAGAAACTCACAGCACGAACGTCACTGAGGTCGGCTCCTAGCCATATCAACAAGTGTATCCAGCCAAACATGTTCATCGTCTTTCGGACCCCAAGCAGGAAGCCGAGACGCTCCAACTGAGGCCTGCTTCGAAGTGAGGACCTTCATTCCTCTCGACCAAGTCATCGCTTGGCCACCTCTCCTCTTCTTCCATCCACATCCCCGGTGAGTAAACAAGGCACGTCGTGGAAGTCGGTGGGCTGGCATGCGCAACACGTGGCCGAGCCATCGAAGGCTGGTGCATGAAATGACGGCGCTGAGCGATTCTTTTCCTTTTCTTGTACCCTAAATAAGGCGTCGCACACGCTCGTTGCTCACGCGGTGTTCCCACCAGATGTGAGCTAAATTGCCAAGGCACCGATGGTCAAACGTAACTATCCTCTTTATGTCCGCTGATCTAAGGGGCTAGGCACATGCCTAGATTCGGACCATGCTCTACTGCGCACACGCTTGGCGCTCACACTTCCCAGTTCAAAAAAGCGGCTATCTTCTAACCTTCTTACTTGTAACTTGAACTCTCAATCCGCAGTGCAACAATATTACGACGAAATGGCCTGCCAATTGTCAATGATAAATGAGGTTGGTGAACCGAACGCTGACTGAGATCGTCTCAAATTGGCCAAGAAGAATGCCTTTGAAGCATGCTGTGCGCCTAACATGAGACGTCGTAACTGTGAATGAACCGCTGAGACATCGATTAGCTTAATCAAAGCACGGAGACAAGTTCCAATTGGCACTGAGTTTCAACGTGTCCGTAACTTCGAAACGGCGTATCGCAATGAGTCTTCGAATTGACC